TAAAATATTGATAATGATGATATTATTTAACATGATGCTAACAAGATTTACATAAAGGTGATCCATATTATTCATTTTCTTCAAGAAAAAAAGGAGGTGAAGATACGTTGATAAATTCATATAATACCCGAATTTAAATGCCTCATTTCAAGCTTTATTATTAAATAATTAAATTCTGAAGGCCTCTAATTAATTGTTAAATATAATTTCTTAATTAATACCTTTTTTTTTAATTATTATGTCATCAACGAAACAAATTTAATTGCGTTTTATTATTATATTTTATAGCTAATTATAATCAGAATAATCTATTTAAAATTAATTGATTTTATAACTTATTATCGACTGGATTTCATCCCCCTTTTTTTTCATTAGCGTTACTTCCTAAATGAAAATATCAACTGATGATGATGATGATGATGATGATGATATCCATTCAATATATGTGATAAATCATTAATAATAAAATTAGTTTGCATAAGGGGAGAATTATGATGATCAAATTATTCAACCGAAATTATAGAGACATAATGATAGTCATTATCGTCATCTTTACCTTTATAAATATATTAATAAAGATTATCATCTTTATAGCGGTGACATAAATAATTATCATTTATTTTTTTCAATTGCTACTGTTGAGAAACGGAAGTTAAAGAATGATAATTAGTAAATAATAATGAAAATTGCGGGTATTAATTAATGCAAGCGTAATAATTTGTGTCAAATAAAGCTATAAAAAAAAATGAATATTAATTGTTTGCCATTATAAAATCAATTTTTTAAAAGTGTTTAAATTATTTTCTCATTGAATTTTAATGCTTTAAATATCATTTTATTAAAATTTGAGACTATAATTTTACAAATTAGCATTAATTCATTTAATTATGTGTTTAAATTTGATTTAATTTATAAAAAAAAAAAAATTAGAGAAGTAAACAAGAATTTTGAACTGAAATATATTTTTTAGCACATTAAAAGTGGAAAGAAACATATAAAATCTTATTAAAAAAATGTGTTAAAAGCGAATTTTTAACGTAATAAAATACTTTAACACGAAAAAAGTACAGTACATTCAGTGTTAAAGAAAAAAGTTTGTAAGTAGAAATTAAGATATTTTGCTATGAAAATACAAGAAGAAATTTAATACAGATAAAATAGTTCACTAGCACAACATAAATCTATAATTTATTTACTAAAATATCTTTATAAAATTCAAAAATATAGGAATAAAAACATCAAACTAAATACCGAAAAAAACCATAAATGGTAATTTTATTTTGCGGAAGTCATGATTAAACACGAGTTCCTCTACGAGTGGGACGATGTTTAGTTGTTTAGATTTGGGCCCCGTTATTATCTAAACAATAATTAAACCCTTGTATAACAAATGATTTGGGAGACCGAATGGGGCATTGCGAATTAATATAAACCATCCCAAAAGTGGTGACTCGTTTCAACCTACAATTACAGTTAACGATCGCTCCTAAACAAAGCACTTATTTGCTACACTACGTGACTATGCTATAGGCGATGCTGTTCGTGTGCGATATCATCTGTCTGCCACGTACTTCTACCGCATTGATTACTATGGCTGATATATATTCTATTGTTTGCCTCCCTTACATGTAATGCGGTAATTGATGTTTAATTTTTGGTCTGGATTAAGCTTTAAAAAAAAAAAACAAAAAACTATGTGACTTTAGTAAGCCTTGTTTACCGCTACTTCCGCTACTCCTTATCAATTCTGTACAAACTACCTGAAAGAAAAGAATTTTTCGTATGTTTATACTTAAGTCAAATGATCTTGTATCTACTTTCCTAGTTTTAAATTGTTTTGATAAGAATTTTAGATATCTCCACCTAATATAAAATTAGTATGTATCATTTTTTATCTATAATTAGAAGGTTATAACCGCTTATAAAATTTTCATTTCGGAATTTTATTCTCGTTCTCCTCTTCTTTTTTTTTTCATTCTCTAAGCAAATTTTTATATTTTTAATTGATTTTTTTTATGTTAAAAATATAGCATAGTATAGTATAAATAACTATAGATAATTCAAGACAGATAAGAGCGTAGGATAAAATTTAAATAAATTAATATATAGTCACTTAATCTTACAATTTTTTTTATTATTTAAACTTATCTACATTATTCCGTGTTTAAATTTGTCATAAATATTAATTAAATTATAGTTTATTCTAGTTTTAAAAGATATTTTTAAAGTTAATATTTATTAAGTTTTTAAACCGATAAGTGCTTAAGTGATGGGGTTAAGTACTTATTAGATGTACTTTACTGTACTTATATAGGAATACTTATTAATTTAATTAATTAAAATATTTAATTTTTTAGTTTTATATGAAATTTAATACTTCAAAATTTGAATTGGTAGAATTAATTATATTTTTCGTATATTAATTTTTTCGTATAAGTAATGTATAAATTGTATCATTTTCAATTTGAATTTTTCAAATTTAATAATTATATTTTAGTAAATTAGTTAAATTATAGCTTATGAAAGAGATTTTAGATTCTTAGAATTGTTAATTTTTCTTTGTAACGGGTATCAGATTCAGTCCAATTTTCTGTAAAGTTCTAACTAACAATTAGTTCTTTTCTATACGAATTTATCATTTTAAACCGTCTACAATCATAAAATTAGTACATTAATTAATTATATTCTAAAACATTCGATTAAATTGAACGTTGGAGGTTAAATTTTGTATTCATTTGTATCTAAAAACTTTAATTTTTTATGATTAAAGAGGTACAGTACATATGTAAATTTCATAGAAAAGAAATTAATTGAACATTTTGACAAATTTCATAATTAAGTGTTAAAACACTTAATTCTATAGAAGCCAACAAAGAATGGTATTTAAAAATTGGTTATTTCTTATAACAAATTCTGTAGTGGTTCTTGTCAGGGGCGATAATTGGACAGCAAAGAATATCCGACAAACCACAAACTACGTTTAGAGGGGATGAAGTATCCCTAAGGTCACTTAATGCTTGGTCAATGCGCCTGCGTCCTGTCCTAATGCATTAACATTGTAGGTCATATTACATCCGACATTTGCTGCCGCCAATGGTGTCAGATTTACTGTGGAGAAGATAAGCAACTGACGTCGACGTCTTGAAGGGACAAGAGGCTGTTTAGTCGCCTACTTGTCTGACAAAACAGTGCAGCTATTACCGGATTCTAAACAGTAAACCACTGTCGCTCCAGGAGTTACTATAAGATTTAACCATATGTTTAACATTTTTCGCTTCTTCTCTACAAAAAGTATGAGTTTCGGGGGTAACCCTACTGTTCATAATTAGAGAGGAAATGGGGTTTGACGGTATCTGCAATTTAGGCACATTAGAGGAAAATATGCAACCTTCTCTCTTTATCCTTAATTAGAAAGAAAATGAGGGTTTCTAATGATAGAGTGTAACTCCTTTATCCACGATCTCAACGAGAAGCGGAACAAAATTCAATATTTTTTTTTTTATACATTCAGAAACTTTTTTTTTTATTAATGCCATTAGTACGCTTTCAAGAAAGATCTCCGTGTTTATACAACCAATAAACATAACTTTGTATTTTAGAAATTTAGTTCTTAGAAAATATTTTAAGATCTTTTCGTAGATTAAACATCGTTTAAATGTATTTATCTACCAATTCTATTCTATTTTATTTAAAAGAACAATAAAATAAACCCAAGTCTTTATTCAAATCTGTGATGCATAATATTTAAATTTATATTAGCTATAAAGATTCAAGAGAAATGACAAAGTTCTAACGTCTTAAAAAGAGAAATTTTCATTTATAGAATTTGAATTTCAAAAGTATTAAAGGTGAGAAGAAATTTAACGAGAGTTTTTGTTAGAATTGAGTCATTGTTCACAATTACATCTTTAAATGGTTAAATAAAATCAATGTGATGAATGNCACTGCCTAAACGGTATGTGGTTTGGATATTTGACCACTGAGGCCTAGCAAGTGTTGCACTTAGACCCCCCCCATCGGTCGATAAGCCTTTCAGAAGGAAATCTCCGTAGTTAGGCATTTGGACAACATTAAGTCATCTGTAAATAAAGTCATAAAAATTTATCAGTTATAAATAATATTTTACCTATCTCTAAAATAGTCGAAAGTTATCTTTCTTAGAAGGTGAACGACCCAACAGGCATAATAAATACAGAGCCTGTAGGCTAAGTAACATAAATGCCTAATTGAAAGAATAGCATTAATAAGCTATAGAAGATCGATTCAATATTTAATGCCTTCGAACTGAATCATTTAATGATTTGATATAGGATTATAAAGAGAGGATCGATTCAGATTATAGATTCAATCAGAAAATTAAAGACGTGTAACAAAATGAATTTTAAAATAAATTCGTGTTCAAATCAATGAGAAAAGTTTAAATTATAAAATAAATTATTTAAAAAATTGATACATTTTAAAACATTTAAGACTATAATCAATTTTTTTTTTTTTTCCTTTCTATTGACTTGAAATTCAGGAAATAAAAACTGATTTGTTTCATTGAATCTTACCTTTGATTTAAAATCATTTTGAAAACAATAGATGAAATATTAAAAAATTTTCTCGTAGATGAAGTCAGATTTAAATTTTGCTTTAAAAGAATTTAAAGACTTATATATATATATATATTTAAACAGTTAGTAACAAACCGTATTACAACCACAAAATACTAAAAAATCCAAAGAAAATCCGGCAAAGAAGAACGAGTACTAAATCTTGTAAAACGAGGATTTTTGTAAGAGTATCACGAAAGATCAAAATCGAGTATTAACGTTAAAGTTTTTTTTTTATTCCTTTCTTTTCTTTATTATGAAAATCACAATTAAAAGAGAACCGAGGAAGCCGCGGAGAATTAACAAAACATAAAGAAAGATAAACAACAAAATTCTCGTAAAAACGCTTGGTGATTGCCATAAAAAAAAAAAAAAAAAAAACAGTACGCTTACAAAATTAATCGCAGTTTAAATTGCTCTTCTCGACACGAGATCGTCTCCGCTAACGCAAAAACCTTAATTGCCATTTACAAAACGGTAAAGTTTTGCATCTAAAAGTTGCAAAAGTGTTCCTTTTAAACCCCATTCCAATTTGTCAACACGACCAACAACTGCAAAAAGAAGCGAGTGAGGGAGTGAAGAGGAAAAACAGGCAAGAAGAAGAAGGAAAGAAGAAAAAAAAAAGCCAAATATTATATGCATGTCTCGATGTTAATAGTTCTCCTTGGCAAACTCTACAGGGAATTGAGAGATAGACGAAGCTGTCGTATAATCTGCTTAACCCGAGAGTAGCTGAGACATCTAATAGCCTGCCAACCACCTACCAATCACAGTCCATTATTTATTTTACTACCCATGTTCAGGGCGCATGCGTAGTGAGAGAAAGAGCGCCGTCGCTTCTCCGACTGTTACACGCAGTTTAGCCTCCGATGTAAAGCCGTCGTAAGTAACAGACGGCATTTTTATAAGCCGTATTCAAATTCCGTATCATGCATCAAGATAATTGTTACACGCAGATCTATCCTCTTCCTTCGGTAGCTATCAGGACGTGGCACCCTCATGTATATGGAAAGCCTCCCAAACAACCCACTTCTCACTTTATCGTAGACATTTTAGGACTTCGTAGTGATTCTCCTCCTCTTTCTCCCGTCACTTCTGTATACAGAGATGCGTTGTGTGCGTCCGAAGTGGAATCAATTACCGCAGACCAACCGTTGAACTTGTGCACGGAACATCGACGTACGGTTTCACCAGCTTCGTCCTCCCAACACTCCGGTTATTCTGTCGTCGTTGGGGAAGGTTCACCCAGTTCGGTTTCTGTTACGTCACCACCTCGATCCGAAATGTCACCCGAGTTGTCGAGTTCGAGAACTTCGCCCGTTCGTGATATAAACGCTAAGGATACTTGTAAGAAAGACTTTTCCAGAAATGAGGATGTTACGAATAAAGGTGAGTAACTCGATATTAATACCTCGTGTCATTCATTCTTCGTCCATAAAACTCCTATTATTATATCGATACGAGGCCCTTCTTCTTCGTTTTATTTACTTAATTACGTCTTTGATATTTCGGATCCAATGAAAAGATTTTCTTCTTTAATATGTATTCTTAAAATCGTATAAAAAAGCTTCTTTTAAAACTAATCTGTACATATTTTAAGACGTCGTTTTGTGTAGGGTTGTTATCTGTTCGTGAGAGCTTTAAAACATAGCTTTATGCCATAAAATGAACTATAAATGGCTTTATGTACAGGTCGGTGTTAGATCGTGATTAAAGATCTGGTAATCGTTCGAAAGATCTCATACATAGTTAATACGCTACTAAATAACCGCAAGATCGTGTAAAAGATCTCAATTAATAAATTTAATAAATTTTTTTTTTAATTTTAAACATTATATTAATTTATTTTTTTTAGAAAAACAAAGAAACTTAACTTTACGTAAATTATGCCTAGAGGTCAATAATAACCTGGATAAATCCTCTTAAATAGTACAAATTAAAGCGAATGATAAATGTGAAATCATTTCGTTGCTTAATAAAAATAGTATTTCTAAATCCATCTCCATGCCTATAGGCAGTGCCTATTATGTTTGGCAACAACTTTTACTTTTCTCAGCTGCTTGACTTTCTACCTTTATTTAAATCGGCAGCTGTTCGTAGATAAGAGGCTTTTATATGAATATATAAGTTACAGATTTTAAATGTTATAAATAACAGATTGTCGGGATAATAAACGATGAGAATTTTCTAACCCGGAAACTTTTCATCAGTTTTAAAAATACCTGATTACATATTATGGATTTTTGAGAAAATTACAAATTCCACCCCCTTTAAGAAATGCTAATGATTTTAATACTTTAAGCTAAATAAAAGGAATTAAAATCCGAGAAATTTTTAATTTAATTGTTATTAAAAAAATCATTTAAAATTATTATAAAGATAATTATAATAAATTAAA